TAAAAAAAAGAAGCCTTGCTTTCTACAGTACAAGGACAAAACTAAAACTGGTTTACTGTTTCCATGAAACCCACTCATGTGACAGTAATGAAATAACAGCTAATTGCCAACCCTACACACTGAGATCTGAACTTATAAAGGCAGAAAGATGACTTCTGCACTTGCATTTTTAAAACCTACACTCTGATGCTGCTAGAGAGGGATGGGATGGCTCAAACAGAGAGGGGTATCTGTGTGTGTTACAGCAGAGTGATAAGCACTCTGAACAAACCCTTCTGCCGTGTGAGTAAAGCTGCAGCGCTCAGAGTGAGGAGAGGCGGTATTGTGATAGAGCCGGGTTGATCTACATAAGAACCATGATTAGCAGGATTCAAAGCCCGTCAATCCACAAAAACACAAGAGCACAACAGTGACTGAAAACTCTCTGTTTATTCATGAGCATTCATTCTGCTGGCCTGGGTGAGTAATGGGTGTGCAAATCTTTAAGGACTCCAGCATTTTTTTTTAGCCTAATCTCTATAGCACACGGTTGATTAACATAGAAAATAATTTTGACTTAAAGCATACTTATAATATAATAAGGATGTCTTGAATACAATAATTTTGTCCACACCAACAGGCAAGTGACTTCTAATAATAATTCTTACAAGCAAATTTTGAGGTTTTCAGCTCTTTTTAAAGGGAAATTTGGCAAACTATATGGCAAAACATATGTATACACCTGACCATCACACCCCAAAATGAGCTTTTTGGACATCCTGTTCTAAAACCATATATAGGCATTAACATTGAGTGCCCTCTGCCCTTGGTGGCTATAACAGCCTCCACTCTTCTATAAAGGCTTTCCACAAGATTTTGAAGTGTGTCTGTGGGAAAGAGTATTTGTAAGGTCAGTCACTGATGTTGGATGAGAAGGCCTGGCCCACAATCAACATTCTAGTTTATCCCAAAGGTGTTCAACGGGGTTGGGGTCAGGGCTCTGTGCAGGCCACCGGAGTTCCTCCACACCATATTCATCAAACCATGTCTCTGTGAAGCTAACTTTGTGCACAAGACCACAGTCATGATAGAACAGGAAAGGACCTTGTTGTTGTCACAAAGTTGGAAGCATACAATTGCCTAAAATATCTTTATAAGCTGTAGCATTAGTATTAACCTGCACTGGAACTAAAGTGCCAAGCCAAAACCCTGAAAAACATCCTCAGACCATTATCCCTCCTCCACCAAACTAGCGCTGGCACAGATTTGCCCATCATACTGCCAGACAGTAAAGCCTGACTCATCATAGAGAACGTTTCCACTGCTCTTGAGTCCAGCGGCGACTTGCTTTACACCACTCCAGCCGACGCTTAGCATTGCGCATAGAGCATGTTAGGCTTGTGTTTTGGTGCATGGCCATGGAAACCCATTTCATGAAGCTCCTGGTTCTGATGCAACAGAGAATTCATTTTACAAACTTCAACACTCTGCGGCCCCACTCTGTGAGGGTTTTGTGGGTTACCATTACGTGGTTGAGCTGTTGTTGCTCTTAGATGCTTCCATTTCACAATAATATCACTTACAGTTGACTAGGGCAGATCTAGCAGGACAGAAAGTCCACAACTGACTTGTGGCAAAGGTAGCATGACATGACATGGCCATTCTACTGCCAGTGTTTGTCTATGGAAACTGCATGGCTATGTGTTAGATTTCACACCTATTAGCAAAGGTTGTGGCTGAAACACCTGAACTCACACGTTTGGCCATATAGTGTGCACAGCAACAAACTGCACAATACAGATGCAGTAGACAGAGACTAGGTTGAAATATTCTGGAGCATTTGTTCAAAGTCAGAATAACAAAAAGATCCAGATAGACGCTACTTGAAAAAAATGTTATATTCTGCTTCTACTTCATCATGTTGTAGCTTTGACTCATTGTTTTCCCTCAGTGCTAATATCTCTATGACTTTGCTGTTATGCACCAAAATGAATCAGTTCACCCTAAAAGGTGCAATGATGGCCTTTATCACAGTGTCTATTTCATGAGAGAAGCTGACAACTTGACAGAGCACATCAATCATTCAAAGCCCTGCAGACAGTCTGTAGCTGTTAGAAAATTGGCTTCTTCTGCCTTACTGTACTCAAAAACTACTACATAGCAAGCATTTAGTTATGAAACTGTACCCAGTGTACTGCATGGAGAACTCACTCCCCCAGACCCCTGGGGATGTCTCTTCTTTACCGTTATTCAAAGCCTCCTTTTTCTCCTTCTGTTTTCACTCTTCCTCCTGTCTTTGAATACACTGTTTGTGTGGATGCTGCCACAGCCTGTATGTTTGCTCTCCCTTGTTGCTAAATGTGCTGTTATGTATAGTCTTGCTTATTGTCCTGTCTTGTTAAAGTAACAATAAAAGGCCACCGAGGTGTGAAGTATAATTCTATTCTGTTAGTTTGCTCAAAATAGTAGTTTGTGACACAATAAGCATAAAAATGTACACATTTTTAGCTTTGTCAGATCATGTGCTTTACAAAATAAATTTTTATTACTTTCAATAATTCAATAACATTATTTTCATCATGCCTTCCGTCCAATGACTGCTGGGATAGGCTCCAGCTCACCCTCGCGACCCAAAAGGATAAGCGGCTTAGATGATTGTGTGTGTGTGTGTGTGTGTGTGTGTGTGTGTGTATTTTCATCATGACCTGTCCAGGGTGTTTCCTGCCTCCCGCTCAATGATGGCTGGGATAGGCCTCAGCTCCCCCCGTGACCCAGAAGGATATGCGGCTTAGAAAGTGTGTGTGTATTTTCATCATGTAAACACCGGACCATGAATCTAAACATGAATCTAAGATTAGATTTATGCATCTAAACATGATGCCGTGATTTCCATAAGGTGAACACAAATCAGTTTTCATCACTGATGTCCACTGAAGCAACAATGCATGCATGTTCCACCAATTAACCATTCTACTTATAATGGTCCCACAGTATAAATAAATAAAGTATTCAGACCTTAGATATCCACAAAGATTGTGTTATGACCTATTCAAACTCAAGGCATTAATCAAGATCAAAATGAATATATACATAATATAAGTTAAATATATACAAAATCCTAATTTATAGGGTATTTTCTATTGTAAGGTGTCTGTCCCAAACCCTAAACCTTACGTTTCATACATACATACATCATCTAAACCGCTTTTCCTTCTGGGTCGCGGTGGGGCGCTGGAGCCTATCCCAGCTGTCACTGGGCGGAAGGCAGGATACAGTCCATCGCAGGGCAGACAGACAGACATACACATTCACTCATATATATATATATATATATATATATATATATATATATATATATATATATATATGCACACAAAAGTGATGATGATGATGGACAAGGCACAGTATATATCATGGCTACGCTGTCTATTAGTGAAAACAAATGTGATGGAGCATTAAAGGGATACTAAACACATGACTATCCCATGTCATACAGTCAGATATCAATCCCCAGCAGAATTTGGTCTCCGTGTGTTTCAGTCACTGACTGTGCAATATAATTTTAAGCTTTATATATTAAGCTTCTTCCTGTATGAAGAAGCCTCCATGAAATATTGGCGCATTTCACAATTTCATGAGAAAAGCTGTTAGGTCATTCTCGAAAGTCCAGTGTATGAAGAAAATTGAGCACAGGAAAGAAGGATGAGCAGTGGAAGATTTGAGGGACGGGGGAAAATTGTAGTAAAAATCTGTTCTGGGCAAACTTCTCATTCCTTAATCCCCTGATATGTGTCTGCCTGCCCCTACCTGCCTTCCCTAGCCCCAATTACTGCAGAAAAATGTCCACACTTTTGGGCTCTCCAGTAGTATGGAGGGTCTCCAGCAGAACTCAATTCACTTTGGTAATGAGCCTGTGCTCTTACATTTCCCCATGCAGACAGCCCAATCTGCCACTGCGCAGCACACACACTGCGCTTTGCATAAGGCCAAAGCTCGGTGGAGATCGACTCTACGAAATATTGCTTTTTTCATTAGGCTGGGATTTGATGTTCACTTGGCTGAAATTCTCAAAATGATCTTTTTGACCACATATGTACACTCCTTCAGTACAAATAAAAAATGTGATTATTGGGTGTCTTTATATCCAGTGTTTCTTTGTTATTGTTGCTGAAAGCTCAATGTTACAACTGTATGGGTGAAAACTGTGACATTCCCATATAGTAATGACAGCATTTGTATGAGTGTTCTACACCAGCACACACTTTCATCAATTTTATGCCATATAGCGTTTTATTCGGTTGACATCACATAAAAGTAGGACCAAGACTTATTGCTCCACAGATAACAGTAAATACTGCAATTTCTCCAGCCAAAGTTGTCCTTTACATTTCTGTGTAGTTCGATGTGTTTACTGTATCTTGTGAACTATGACACCCATTTAAGGTGGGAGGTGAAATGGCCCTGTATTTCACCATTTTCAATCTGTCTGAATGTTCTCTGCCATTGCCAGTTCATTCAACCTTTGGTAAACAGAAAGGCCACATCAGTGAGTTTTTCCATTTTACCTCAGAGAATCTGAGATGTGCTATCTTAACTTTAGCCCCCGTGAAGCTTTTCTCACATTTTCTGTACATAAGCAAAACTGTCGATGCATCTAAAGGATTCTGTTTGGCTGCAAAGATCAAAGTGTCATATTCTTAGTGGATGCTATGTCATTAAAATACAAACCAGCTTCCAGAAGATGTTATCAGAAATGTGAGACTTATTTGAATGTATGATTAAAGGATAAATACCATTTAATCAGCTTTCAGAAGAAATGATTAGAAATGTGGGACTTATTTCAATGAGTAAAGAGCATTTAATCAGTTTTCAGAGCTAATTAAAATTATGGCTTCTTTGAATATATAAATACATAAACAACCTGATTATATAGAGCACAGATAATAGACTCAGTGGATTTTAGAACTTTCAAACCACATAGCACAAAAAAACAAAACTTTTAGTCCTGTACAATTACTTACATAGTCATCGTAGGCTTCATGTGTGGCCTGCAGCAGAGGGGCTCTATATCCGGGGGTCCCTGATGTTCCTCTGGCCCTGGGGGTCGAGACTCCTCTAGCTAACATGGTGGTGGGTAGGGAAGTGCGTGTACCCACGGTTCCCCCAGGGGCTGCAGCTCCACGGCCGGGTGGAGGAGGTGGCACTGCTCCCCCACGACCCCTGTCCAGGGGAAAATATAAACAAAAACCATTGTTTGCTTTCTAGAATGATACTGTTGGCTGTGACCATGAAAAGATCCATGCAAAAGTGTAAAAATAGCAACGCCACTCCATGCAGCTTCATTAAACCGCTTAGGTTCTCCACTGAAATGCGGATTGATATACTAATTAGAGTACTGTAAGGCTAGGACGTGAAATAAGTGCTGTGCTCAATCCCTGCTACAGTCAGGAAAACACTGTATAAATAATGCTGACTCTGAATAAAGAGAGTTCCTGTGAACATCAGCATTAGCAGCCTTTTCTGTGTAATAAAATGCTGCAGTGCTGTGATAGAAAGCTGCTGAAAGCTGCGGCAATAAAGGCCCCACATTAGCTCATACAGGCCCCAGTGAAACCTTAGCTTTAGCTCCTAGTAACTTTCATTTTGCTATACTGTATAAATGTAATTATGTTATTAAATACTTACTTACATAGCAAGTTAAACACTGAATTACATCTGCATTTGATTAGGCTACATTCTGCATTGACTTTTTTCCATTTGATGCCAAACATTATAATATAAAGCAAAACAAGACTGCAGAACAATAATTTTCCATCAAATTTGAAACATAATAAAATATACTCTTCTACTTACAAACAAAATGTTTAGAATCTGCACTTTTGACTATTTTTCTTCACTTGTTTCAATGAGCCATGAGAAATATACAGCAAATTACATCATGTTTCAGTCATCTCCAACAGTAACTGTGACCTTTAAGGGTTAACTACTCTAGACTTTTCATTTGAGTTTATTCTTGCATTTCTAGAAAACTACAAAGGTGAGATCTTACTGAATATAAGAACCAAAAATTTCTTCTTTCAAACCAGAAGCACTGCAAACTGATAAAACCTTTGACTGTTATTCAGATACAAACTGACAGATAGAAAAGACACATGCTCAGCTTCTATGCATTCCCAGTCTTACATGCCTACTGCATTATGTATATGATGTTCCATCTATTGTGCTTTACGCCACCCTCACAGTCCCTTATGTAGCACTGTAATTGTATCTGTACACTGGGTTCTGTATGTATGCTGTATAAAATCCCTCTTGCACATGGCTCATGCGGGAACAATCGTCTTTTCGAACATAAAAGAAATTAGATTTTCTTCTGCTCTCATACTTTTACGCTTTGCTGCCTGAAAACCCGTAGCTGATTTTTCATGAGCGCTGATGATTGAAAGGTTGGAAATCCATCTGTTTATTAAGGGTGGATCAGGAGTAAACCATGCATGAAGTATGGCATTTAATATGGTCGTCTTGGTTGCTGAGCAGTCGTTCCGAAGAAAGGGGGAGGTGAGAGCTGCGATGTGAACCCCCACGGCATCAGGCAGCATAGCTGCAATATTTTACTGATAGTGCATTTAGTATTAGAGATATCATAGAGTAAATGGAGCCTGCAGTAAGTGAACAGGGTCAGTAAGTGTTTAAAGCCTTTCGTAGTTATTGTTTTCATATTCAGAGATGCACGACAGTGTGTCTAAGGCTTGGACAAATGATAAAGGGCTAAAAGGGCTTGCTCTAATGTCCAAAGGAAAGGGCACAGACCTTTAAGGGCCAAGTGGACTGTCACAGTAATAGCATTACAGCAAGCAGAGATGAATTTTAATGGGCCAAACATGGGTCAAAGCCAGATCTTCCCAAAACCAGCCTGAGCCCCATTCATTCTGTTTGCCTTCTAATGAGATTCCTCAGCTGCTCAGCATAAATGCATATGACCTCTGCACATATTCTGTCCAGGGTTAACCAGCCCTTAATGAACCCAGTCTGGCCACCATTAATAACAGAGCCTGTATCTGCTTCAAGCCATTCGCACCAGTTCTTTCACATGAGATTTTATTTTCTTGATCACAATGAAACGAGGCATTTTAAACAGAAACATTTATAGAAGTCATTATTAGTGGAACAATCAAATCTCAAATGGGCAAGAGTTCAAAAACGCTTACTCAATACTTTGGCAGATCTATGAGTCTCAGTTACAGTTACGGTATCCTTTAAATCAGACGTTTCCTGCCTCTTCAGATGTGTCAGCTACTTTTCAAGGATGAAATCTTTCATCAGCTCCTCAATAATAAGTCATTGTTGTCACTGCCTTCCAACCTCATGGTGAAATGCCATTCAAAACTGTATGTAGTTCCGTGGCTGTGAAAAGTAGAAAAATATATCACATATGTGATAATTATAGGTGACTTCATGATTAAGCAAATTATTTTTGTGTAGTTAATCACAATTAATCACATTTGTCTGATTTGCTCAGTTTTTTGCCACTGTGCATTTTGTTATAGGTATACAAGAGGACAAAAGATGTGTCACCAGAATGTATTTATTACTTTCAATAATTCGATAATACTAGACCATCAAATGTAAATTAGCATGAAAATCACGTGATTTCCACAGGGGGAAGCATTTTCCAATCAGTTTCCAATGTCCAGTGAGAGCAACAGTGGCTGCATGTTAAAGCCAATATGTGTATATATCATATATTTCATAAATACAGTCAATGGTTCCAACTCCTCCACTGCTTATTTTACTGATATTCCCAGCATTAGTGCTGTGTTTTGCTTACTCACAACTTACAAATTCATCATGGAAGCAGCTGGAAATAACTTTTGGTTTGGAGTTTAGGGTGGAACTACAGGTGGTTCGATGGGTCAAACCAGGATAATAATGACATTAAAAAAATAGTGGTGTAATCATTTAGCATGTTAATGCATTATTAATTTATTACCTTTGACACAATTAGTATGAATATACATATCATCATTTCTGGAACAAAATATTGCATGTTCATTTTTGTCTTCATTTTGAAAATACTAGATGTCCTTTACATTGTGTTAGAATTTCATTATGAACGGACCAGTGAAAAAGAACCAAACTAACCTGAGATACAGAGATACTAACCTGAGATCTTTTTACATATACATTTCTACATAATACACTAATATAATCCATGATATTCAGAGTTCATTCAGTTCTCACAGTGCACACATACTGGAATATGACTGGCTATTATTATGCTGTAGTATGTACTTTAGGCCAGTTAGATTTAGGCAATTCTGGCTTTAGCTGATTTTAGCATTTTTCTTATTACATGGTCACAAAAAATCTTCTATTTTCACCTTAGACTTCGACCAATTTCCATTTTCATCCTAGACAGGTTATTAAACCTCCATAATGCCTGGTAGGGGGAAACTGCAAACTGTTCAAAAACACTGCAATCTTCATCTCTCTTACTCTTTTCCACAGTATAGCTCTTGTTTTGTGTTCCTTCCTACAGTTTTCAAACAGCAGCATGTAGAACACACATATTTGAACATGCTGAAATTCAGCTGAGAACAGCTCTTGCAGGTAATATTGGAGCCGCAGGGCATGAACTATGCTCTTCCTAAAATTCTGTTTTATTTATTTTTAAACGTGCTTTCTAGAAATCCCTGGAAAGCCTTCTTTTAGGATTCGTAAAGCAACACATCATAAGGTTTTACTGTTATTCAGTAGTGCCTTGTGAAAATTCTAAAGCCCCATTCATCCTGTAGGTGTGGGTGTGCACAGAGTTGGGATAAGTAATCCCAAATCAAGGTTCTTTAGAACCAAACTTTCAAAAAAATAAAAAAAAAAACTTTGGGTTCAGTTATAGTAACAGGTGTGTATCATCTTTCAAGGCCAGACTTCTTATCAGCTAGAAGATGTTCTTCTCCTATGCAAAATAAAACATGCCTAGAAAAGCATATGCTGCACAATAATCTGTTTCACATGCAAACATTCTCATTTAAGAGAGTGAAAATTTTAAGTCTTTCGATTTTATAACGAAGAAAGATCTCCTGGCACTTCTCCCATGCACTTTCTCCCACAACTTCATAATGTCAACATGCAAGCAGATGCCCAATAGCAGGCTGTATACCGGATAATAATAATAATTAGTATGTGCCTCATGTATGTTGAAGGTATTTCTCCAGATTAAATCTATATTTAATGTAGCAAAACTAAACAATGGCTGTGGCAGCACTGCTGAGCAGCAGATATTTAGATGAATGCAGATCTCCATTCCATCTTCTCCAATTCAAATGAACTCAAAGAATTCTCCCCTCATCAGCTCTCTCTTTATCTAACCCACGCTGCTTTACAGTAACAACTTCTTGGAACGCCATAAGGAGAATATCAAGGAGTGGAGGAGCTTTGGGTTTCTAATTGATGAGAGAAACATGCGATGGGGCTGTATTTTACCACCTGAGGTAGGGCAAGCTGTCACTCTGTCAGGGGAATTCTCACTCTTCTGAGAGCACTGCAAGCCGGGGCAAGCGTAGAACGTATGAAATATAAATTAAAGAAAGGAGCATGTTTAAGATATGAAAGGCCTGAATAATGTATGATGATAAGTTTAAGATGCGCGTTTGATGAGTGGCAATTACAGTTTCATCTGATAACCTCACACAATCACTTCGAGCCAGAGGTGCTTCGGGCACTTTCATAATCATGCACTGCACAGATGTATTGAGTGTAAAATCCTGGCTTTACTTGGCAGGTCGCATTCAAACAAAGCCGCGGTTCTCTCAGCTCTCACCTGTGATGAGTTCATTCTTTGATAACTGCTCTGAAAGTCTTTGAAGCATGTAAAAGCACTGGATTTTAAAGGCAGCATGGATGATTTGAAAGATGAGCTTAGAGCTTGAAATATTTGTCCGAACCGAATGAGACCTGACTTTTCATGTCAGGTTCTGACATTATTTCTCAGATATGTGTCAGGCTTTACATTTCACATTTGGTTTTCTCCTAGACGGTATTCTATAACTGAGTTTTTCTCCCTACTGTATTCTTCCTTACTACCCTAAGTAATTTTGAATGTGGCATGCTGGAGCCACTCCTGTTGTTGCAGTGAGGTTTGTCGAGGCTCAAAAAGCCAACGTGAAAATAATACATTATGTCAAGTTTATCCAGACTAAAAGCTACTGATGTCCTGATGTGATTCAAAGGAGCAGATTCAGGCATATTTTAATGGAATGCGTACTCTGATCCTATTTTTTTGCATTCTACTTAGGGCACTGTCGTAGAGGTGGTGTAAACTGACATTGTCCACAACCTGCAGCAGTGAGGTGCGTTTTCAGAAGATAAACAGATCTGAATGTGAAAGAGGATCTATTTTCAAGTGGAAAATGAACAATTGCAATATCTGTAGCACCAGTATTTCCACTGTGTTTCAGTTAGCAATGGTTCACATACATGTAAAATGTGAGCAAAAAGCTATTATGCTCAGAGTCTGCTTTCTGTTAGTTAACCATGAGCAGCACACTAGCAGAAGCATGTACAAAACACGCTCCTTCCATCTTTTCCACACATAAGAAAAGTGAAAATGAAACTCTCACAGAAATGTTCTGCTTTAATGGCCATGCTGCATGCCACATGTCAGTGTTAGCAGTAACAGAGCACTCAAAGCCAGGAAAAAATAATTTCAACAAGATGACTTAGCACAAGGCAAACAGGAAAACTGCACTGTTCATGGAGAACCCTTATCTATTAAAAATAGAGGCCATTCTGAAAACTCTGACTGATCATTTGTATTCTGTCTGCTAAAAGGCCTGCACTGGCTCATAAAGCTTCATATTGGAGCGGTGTGCCTAGAGTTCAATGATCGCTCTTTGTGATGTAATTTGTTGATGGTCCCTTAGCTTTCAGTCCCATGAGTCCTATGAGTTTCAAAATGTTTTCACTTAAGGTGAAAATTAAGTGGGAGCTGATTGTTTTAGTTACCAATAATGTTGCCATTTTAACGTCTGCACAATTCTGCAACGTTCAAAAAAGAAACTAACCTTCTTACGCTCGCGAGACTCTTTTCTTCTTGTTCTTACTGTTAACATTAACTGTGACTCACTACAGCACGCTGGCAAAAGTTACATTTAATCAAACTGTAGAATTTTATGTGGCAAAAAATTAGAATAAAAACTGTACTTCCAGTTGACTGCTGGATTCAGCTGTGATGTGAAATCAGGGTAAATGCATGATTCAAATATCTTTGGGAAAATGCTGCACATCTTACTCCTGCCAATATAAAGGAAATACTGACTAAACATTCTACATATTTTCTGAATAAAAGTCTGAATTGCTCCTCTTGAGAGGATTCTTCTTCAGATTTCTCTGCTGGTGGCAGCCCCGACTCCAATTTTCCCAAAATGAAAAGCTCTTAAAATCTACACATTTGATGTGACATATTTATCATTCACAATGGTAAATTTCAATGAAAGTTGAATGTCTGCATGTATGTGGTTTGAATGTAATGCCGCCTTTAATCACCTTATATTCATAATCTATGTATATTCTGATATCTGTGTTTTTTACTGTAACTGTAACGGAATACAGTTACCCTTCTTTTTTAACCTGATACACTGCCATTACAGGTATTCTGTTACTACCAACCCTGATTACTAAACAATAAGCCTTAGGACGTAATAATCCTGGAAATTTAAATTGGTAAACTTAATTTTCTGACAGCTGAAAGTATTATTTTTTTTTTGTTTATTAATTATCTGATGCCAGCTGTCACTGTTGCTTGGGTACTTAACACTGTCGTTAAGGTAACTTAACAAATGCAATCATCTGTTATCATCATCAGGAATATGCAGGTTTATTCAGTGTCCAGCTGTAGGACAGAATTTGTCAAATTGTGACAGGTTTGGATTGTAAACTTGGTGCTGTGGGTCGGTTTAGGTCGAGCTTAAGCGAAAGTCTTAGGCTATATTTTGGTTTTTGGGCCAAAATTGCAAGCCTGATTACAGCTCTGGATGGTCTGAACCATACCGTGTAGAAGCTGTGGAGGTGAGCCGTATGCCGCGTCCTCGCACGCTCCTCCCTCTGCTTGGGTCATCAGAGCCGTTCAGATAGGAGAGTTCGCGGAGCTGCTCTTGCCTGATCTCGTCGTTGTAGTCCTGCGGGAAGAGAAGGCAGCATGCAGAACATTAAATAAGCCTGTAGATTAATCCTCCACATCATAACAGCTTCTGTCAGCCGTCACACGAGCCTACAGATACACTGCTCTTAAAAGTGGTGGAAAAAGAAACAAACGATTCACTTGGATGCACATTTTTTGCAGAAATCAATGTCAAAGTGACTGAGCCTTAAATGTATTGCCAGATTAGCAGACTGTAGGCCAGGAGTTTTAAATGTGCTGCCAGGAAGTTTTTCTCTCGCCCTCTGCAGCACCAAGCTGAGATAAAAAGCCTAAGCGGCGTATGCTAGTTCATCCTAAACGCCAAGGCATGCTTTCACCAACTTTTTCTGCAAAGCATTTTATTGGTTTTTAAACACATTAGTCACACCGGGCGTTAGACTAAATGTGTTATATCAGAAGTTATATTTGTCCATGCTTTGTTGGTGTTGCTGCTTGCTGGTTTCAAGCAGATGATGAATGGCGATTTTATGAACGGCGGCGCTGTGCACTTTACTATTTTCTCCACTCTATCACATTTAATTCATAAAATTATCCAGTCCCATATAGGTTGCAAATTATCAAACCCCGGGGAGAACCATAATAGCTTATATATAGAGTCCTGACTGCTCCAGCTTTACATGCAGTGTAGGATCCTGCAATGTACACAATTCAAAGGTGCACATATATCTTTCATTTAGATAGTAAAGGGGACAACATAAGAAGGAGAGAAACAAAGAAATGGCTTATTAACTTTGCTTGACAACAGCTAACAGTGCATTGTTGTGAAAGAATACTGCTACTTCCTGCATTTATAAAGTCCCCCTCTCTCATTTGATTGAACATGACAGGGCCCTGAATCACAAGGCCGATTACAGCGTGGATAGCGCTTATTTTATTATCTTGTCAGTGCCACAAGCAGATAAATGGAGCCTCATTTCCACAAACCACTTATTCCCCTTCCTGTTTGGCGTAACAGCTGGGCACAGGCAAATATTAGAAATGGCAGTTAGATGAGAGTAGCCTTTTCATGGAAATCCAGTCAACAATCAATAAGGACCGTGCTGCTTGGGATTTAGAACTTTAGCAGCTTTTCTTCTTTATTTCTGTTCAATTCCTTCTTTTTCTGTGTGTTTTAGTTTCTTTTTTTCTGAGATGCACAAATCTATTCATGTTTTATGCAGATTGACTTCACTGTTCATTGAGCTGCATCATGACAAGATCATGCTACGCTGTAAAAAAAGAAAAGTCAGGTCAGCTTGAAGCAAGCTGCATAGCTTTTTAGTCAAGCCGAACTTACGCCTTCAGTGCTTCATGACAACGCCCCGATTTCCCCCTCCTCCCGATTTAGCTATTGCCAATTTCTACCCACAGGTTTTGATCTCCCCATCACACAGCACCCCTAGCCTGAGAGGCGAGGGCCTCCTCCTCTTAACCCTTTAATGTCCTCACCAAGAAAAAAGGTTTTATTTGTTTGGGGCAATAATGAAAACAATTGGTGTTATGTTTTTTTTGACCCCACAATTTTTAAAATATTCGTATAAAATATATATCTACCAAACTGTCAAGATGGCACTTTGTAGCAAAATCAGATTAATATCAATATCAAATCAATATGTAGTGATTAAAAATGTGCTCTACCAAAAGATTGAGCAGAACTTTAAAGGGTTAAGGTAGCTACATACATCACCGAAACCATTGTTTTTAATGAAGGTGCAGACACCAAGCACCGCTCAATTTCTCAGTGCGTCATAGTGTGCCACTCAGCATTTGACATTACTATGGCTTCGATTAATCGATTAATTTGGAAACTAAAAAGTGCAACTAGTATACTGAAAAAAGACTGCTGGCGTTACTTGTTTGGTGAATAAAATAAATCAACTTAAAAACCCAAATAATTAGGAAACTGAAAGAAAAAAGGTGTTTAAGTAACATTTTAATTCATGTGGAACTGAAGTAAACATCTGAATCAAGTAAAGTCAGCATTCTTTTTTGTCAGCGTAGTCTGCCAGTAACTAAACATTTCACGTCATACACAATGGCTCTTTCAACAAATTAAAAATACAAGGATGCTCAATGCTCTTTCAAACATAAAATACCTAGGCTACATTCTAAGTTATGCTATTATCAAGACCAACAATGCCAGAAAATGCTTTTTCGCATGACCCTCAAAAATGATATTTTACTCAGTGTGAAGGAAACAACAAAACTTACATGACAAGCTAAGAACTGGTATGTAGATTCTATAAGAAATTTGCATTTCTATTCAAGTCATTACTCGTCTAATGATAAGGCAAAGATAAATTAATCAGAACTGGTTTTAGAGCTGATATTACTGAGCACAAAGAAGCAGCCTGGTCATCAGCCAAGTCAGATATGCAGAGCCATAAAGCATGTTTACAATTCTTGAAACAGCAATAGCCATAGACATCAGTGCAGTCAGAAACCTCTGTCCACAAAAAGAGTTTTTAAAATCTCCACCCAGGACTCCATTTTCAGTGACATAAAACACTGTTTTCATGCAGGCGGGAGGCCAAAACGTGGTGGAAGAAAATATCTTTCAAAAAATATCCTTATCCATGTGGATGAGCAGGTGAATTCCAAGCTGGCCTAAACTGGTCTAAGCTGGTTTATGCTGGTATTGACTGACCAGCATACCAGCATCCAAAACACAACATGTGCTGCTTTTGCTGGTGGCCAGCATATTAAGTTCCAGTGCTGTTCACCAGCATACCAGCATCCAAAACATGTGCTGGTTATGCTGGTGACCAGCCATGCTGGTCTACAGTGCTTTTTATAGCAGGGAGCGCACTAGCAACAAATAGGTATGATTTAGCTGGGCAGACAGCGACATGTTGTTTTAAACTTGTTTACTGTAGTTTACTCACCATGCACAGCTTTTGTCTTTTACTGCTGTGAATGTGTTTCTCAAGATCCTCATGTATGATTGCTGTGCTGCCTTCAAAGGTGAGCTCAGTTTTGCACTTACACTTTCATCTTACAGGAAATTGTATTTTTTAGATGATATTACAGTAGTTTCCATATTTTTGAATTGTTTAGTTGTGCACAGGCCTGTAGAGTGAGGCTGTGAGGAGGTAGTAAACTCATGCGAAACATGATCAACTATCTTGAAAGTTCTATGTAGTTAAATTTATGTAATTAAGAGTGTAGAGTGTGGTGGTCTTCACTGTGACACAGTCTATGCAGTATAGCAGCACTAATGTATTTGCTATGCGATGCTACTTGAGGCTATGCAACACTGCGTGGCACTGTACAGTGAGAAACGTCTGGTAAACAGTGGCCTTTAGACTCCTGAATGCGGAGGATTAAGGTATCACCAGGATTTAAACTCATGATCTCATTTCTCCTGATGATCTGGCAGTTAGACAGTCACGCCACTCTGAAACGGAAAATTACAGAAGAAACAATGAAAAGATATCAAAATGTTTAATAACAAAAATAAAAACACATTAATTAACATGTGTATGCGTTCTTTATATAAGTGTAGACAATGCTCTCTGTCTGAGCATAAGGAACTATTTAAGCACAGATCACACTGATCTGAGTTTATTCACCTTTTTTCATTCTTCCTTAAACACAGAACTTTAAACAACTCCTTTCATCAGGAGACTGTGAGTTTGAATCCTGGTGACATCACAGCTCTCCATGGTCTAAGATGAGAAAGCCCTCAGGTGTGATGGGGGAGTTCTAGCCTGTGGGTGGGAACTTCTAATGACTAAATTAAGGGAGGAACTTTGTAAAAATACATAAAAGAAAAGCAATTTCAGCTTATTAGGCTTTTAATAAGCACATCTTGCTGTTAGCTAAACCTAAGATGCTGTAGTTTTTTCTTTAAATAGCAGAACTTTTGACTAAACTAAGCTGAGAAAATAAAAAAATGCCATGCAAATGGTTACATTGTTTTAATTTTTGCAGTGTATGAGCACAGGCCATACACAGACAGTTACAGGAAAATCATATACATTAAAAAAAACAGTTTAGAGTTAATAATTACAAATAAAATATATGTACACAATACAATATGTATCACATGGAGTTATCTGCTTTTGCCAAAAATATAACAGTACAAAGAACAGCACTTAAAAACTTTTGTTTATATTTTATAGTACATACTTTGTTTTCTCATATCAGCCTGTGTGGGGTTGTATGATAAATCATATTTTTAGCGTTATCACGATATGAGTTTCCACAATAAACACATTGTTAGAGCGAGGATGACAGAACAGATTGAATTACCTCATACATGCAACGCCAGTGAGACGTCACTACATTAGCAGCACAAGTGCTTCTCTGCACTGGGACTGACCCCTGCTCTCCCATGCAGGAGACAAGCAACTTAACCCTTAATCTAAACTGACAATTAGAAACACACACACACACAGCTCAAACACACACATGCACAGCTTGCGTCACATCCAGTCAGAGACACACTATTTGAATAGCAATTTATCGCTTCTCATATTGTCATTGTGACATCTGACAGCTTTATCAAACGTCATATTTTATGTCAATATTGTACAGCCCTAGCCCTGTGCTAATAAGCTAATTGCCAAAACTGCCAGTGAACATTAGCCCACATGTGCTGTAGTGTAAAAAAGTATGTTTTTTTAAAGGATTGATCATGCTGTCTCCTACCCTTTTACCTAAAGTGGTCTCAGGCAAAAATAATTTAATTTCACATTTTCCCCTTTATCTTAGACACAGAAGACTCAAATGAGTTGTGGAAGGAAAATGCATTTCATGCAAAACAGATGTAATAGATATCTTGATGGACTCATCATGAAGGGCACAGCTATGGCAAAGCTAATTAAGTTCAGATGCAGATGTGAATAGCAATGCACTGAGTCAATATACAAATAGGGAGATACAGAAGCCCAGGTCAACTACTTACAGATTAAAACCATGTAAAGACTCGCTTTAGACAAGTTATTCATTATAGCTAACACTCTAAGAACCAGCTGAAAGCAGAACATGAGGCGTGATCTCGCATATCATTATGGAGGTACATCTGTATGACCAAGAAGTCTATGATCTGCGGACATATATTGCGGTTGCTGTCTGCCTGTAGAAAAGATGCTCACCGAATGCATGATTTAAGGCTTTAAGATCCCTGTCACATCGTTATGTGCTGATGCTAACAGAGACATAACCTTTACTAAAAAAGGACTGCAGTCAAATCAAAATTAGAAAGACTTGATTTGATTTGTTTTTTAAGTTTTTCATGAAAAAAATACATTGTGTGACTGTGCTTATGATGAGTGGAACCAAAATGCATTGTCTAAACCTGACAATGTAAATTCTGTGCAGAGAAAAATCTACATGCATTTATTATTATTAACTAAAAACCATGCTTTGGAGGTCCAAAACACTGTTATTTGGTACGTTATTTCCAATATCATTTTACATTCCTTCCACTAGTCCTCTAGTCCTTCAATTGCCTGACAGCAGATCATTAATGAGCTGCGCTACTGAAATCCCAATAGAGATCCCTCAAGTCTTGTATCTATCCCAAAATGAAGTTACATATCTGTCAGTTGGTCCAAATCCTTCTATCTCCAAAATGGTAAGAAGGAGAAAAACATGCTTAACTTTAAATGTAGGTAACTGTAAAGATATTTTATTCCAAGCAATTTGATTCCACTTCCATTGGTCCATTCTTCATTAAAGTTTCACACAATTTAGACAGTAGCCCATGTATTCAAATTATGTAAAGAAAAAATGACAAACCAGAAGCCTGTATAATAGAATGCATAGCTTTTTAGCAAAAGGATTGACTGTCGTATCATTCTGGCTTCCTACACAAGCTACTCAGGAGCCCTTGACATTCTTGGAACAGCCACTCTTGCAAAGAGACAGACACATCTGCCTGAAATTTGCCAACTCATGGCACTCATCCCAGCTTTAGACCGTCTCCCTCCAACCAGGCAACAATCTCTAAGAAGAGCCACTTGCATACTGCCGTAAACTCAATATTCTGAAGCCAAGATATGCCATTACCAGAATTATATCCCATACTTCACGAAAGAAATGAATACATTTAGTGTACGTGCTGCAGTAGCAGCACAAGAAACAAATACATGCTGCACACAATCATATTACGTATAATAAGAAGATTGTTGCTGTATTGCAGAATCAATTGTTAGAGAACCCCTATGAAGAAATACATTGTGTTGTAGAATTACACAGTGATGGTACTGAATTTTTACTTGATTCAGATGTGTACATCATTTGTACAAAACATGTCACACCAACAGTTTTTTTCTTTCAGTTGGCTTACTTTTGGCAATAATTGTGTTAATGTATATATGTTATTTCATGTAGGCCCATGCATTTGGCTTGGTAAATTACTTTTTCAGTGTAGCAGTCAGCTGCTTTTGATGCATTTTGTATGAAATTGCTCCATAATATTCAGTAATATAGCTGTAATTTGGTGACTGCAGCCACTACTGCAAATGCATTACTCTACTGTACAGTACACAATACCATATATATCACATGGAGTTATCTGCTTTTGCCAAAAAATGCATTTAATTAAAATAATTAAAACAACAATTTTTCAGTAAAGTTTTATTTTGTAAGCTACCTGTATTTTGTTATTTTTACTTAATCAAAACAACCCAACTGCATTTTGATTGATATTACCTGGAATGCACAATAAAAATGTATGAAAATCTATGATCTATGAAAATTCATTAAAATGGAGATACCTTTTTTTGCAAATGAACACTTAATATACTTCCCTACATTAATATCGGCTGGGCCAGAATTTTACAGGCACTTTTTTAGCAAACAGTAACCTGGTCTTTATATTCTTGAGCCTTACCAGTAGTTTGCACTTGTTTATCTGCATTTTCCAACTTGGCCGCAAGCCTCATTAACATGTAAATTCCTTTAAATATCACTCACAAGCTTCTGTGGTCATGACCTTAACAAAATATATGCAGTGAAATGTAAATTCAGAGCTTTGTAACAAAAGAAACAGCTTGAGAAAAAGGTGTGATAAGGCATTACGAGTCTTGGGTGTGTCAAGGCACCTTGGACAGTTCCCATCTGTTTGAAATGTATGTCCAGTCTACAGCAGGCGTGAAAAAGGGAATACAACACAAAGCCTTAAGTGGAGAGGCCTGGGCTGCAGTAATGCTGATGAGGCAGAGCTGTGTGTTCAGAGGCTGAGGCTACGCTGTAAAGCCCAGGGCAGGATGGGTAAAGCAGCATGAGGGTCTTTCTCTGAACGTCTCTCACCCCGAGGCCACCGTCTCACACAGCAGCACCCATATTTACAGTCTAGACCATGCACAGATATACAGTAGGCACATTAATTATTGGTAAATGCTTCAGGCCCAAGGAAAGACTGTGCCTCACAGGGCTTTTGCCCTTCTACATTGCTTATTAACGTTTGAATACATTATGCCTCGTGTTAGAGCTGTAGAAGGAAAAATGCTGAGAGAAAGTTCTTTTTTACTCTGTTAGAATATGTGCTTAACTGTATTGTATGGAAATAGAGTACAAGAAAACTCAGTGGAATATGAATAATAAATAGTTGTCACCTGCATTAATGAAAAATTGCATACATTAGTAAATATCAATGCTGTGACATCAAAGGCTTGTAACACTAATTTGCATGTTTTATTTATTTAAAATGCCAGATTCCTCATGTGAACATTTCGTGATGAATGGACCGATAGGAATAAAATCTTGTTATATTAATGTGCATTAATTTTTCTTCCTTCTAATCTAAACTTGCAATTTCTGAGATTTTGTATCATCAACATGATCAAAGGTTTGGGTAAAATAACAATATTTATCTTTATTGTAATAAATTATGTTTTCCAAGCATATTGTGAAAATCGTCATTATCGTCAGAAAACTTAACAATAGTATGGTTCATTACAAAGAGAGCATAAGTAGTTCTGTTTCATTTAGTTAGTGCAGCACAGTATATGAAATGGTGAATATAACTGTTGTATTCATAGATTTTGATAGTATTTTTAAATGTGGCACTATTGATTCTGTTCCAAAAACACATCATGATACTTAGCATGTATCGTAAAACTGTCTTGAAGTATCATGATGTTATAGTTTTACCATACTGCCCACTAAAATATCAGTAATGGGACAATGATGTGATGAATATTTCCCAGATTCTGCAAACCTCAATTCCAAAAAACACAGTTTGGGACAGTATGTAAAATGCAGTTAAAACAGAAAGCAGTGATCTGCTTTGACTTGTCTTTAAACAAAACAGTACAAAGACAATATATTTTATGTTTTAACTTTTTAACTTCATTGTTTTTGTAAATATATAGTTCTCATTCTGAAACTGACGCCTGTAACATACTCCCAAAAAGTTGCGACAGGGGCAATTTAAGCCTAGGAATGTTGTAAAATTTTGAATGTGATGTAATTATGTTTGGGTGTAAAAGGAGCATGCAGGAAAGGCCTAGTCTTTTAGGAGTAAAGAGGGGTGGAGGTTGGCCACTCAACAGTTTAAGAACAATTGACCTCATTTACCAATATCTTCCTAACTTTTTTCTTAAATTTGTTCTTGAGAAAGGGCCTAGGAAAAAGTCTACATCAGATTCATGATGTGTTCTTAAACCGCAGAACCTGTGTGTAGATTCTGTACCTAATAACAAATCCCAAATAAAGAAACATTGGTGAATGTCAGAAAAACTGTATAAGTGAGTTTTAGGAAAAAAGTTATTCTTAAGAACAGTTGGTTAATGAGGCCCAATGTTCTGCAATGTGCAAATGCATGGATTTAGGTATTTCACCCTCTACAGTGCACAATATCATCAAAAGATTTAGGGAATCTAGAGAAGGTCAAGGTGAAAAACCACAACTGAATGCCATGACCTCTGTTGCTTTAGATGACACTGTATTAAAAACTGACACGCTTCTGTGATTGACATCACCACATGGGCTCGAGAATACTTTGACAAATCGTTGTCAATAAACTTTGTCCATCGCTGCATCCACAAATGCAAGTTAAGGCTGAACTATGCTTCTAAGCAGAAGCCACATGCAAACAGTTTCCAGAAACGCTGCCGACTCTCTGAGCTCAAACTCATCTGAGTGCACTGCAGCGCAGAGGTAATGTGTATTGTGGTCTGGTGAGTCAACCTTTCAGATTGTCAGTAGAAATGATGGACATTGTGTTTTCTGGGCTAAAGGAGAAAAGGACCATCCAGATTGTTACAAGCGTAAAGGTCAACATCTAAAACACAACAGAGTTCAAAATATTTACACATGCTGTCACCTTCTTTGGAATTGAGATCTGTAGAAAATTCCACAAGCATACTCTGTCTGAAAGTTTTGTCAAGTCAGTCCCTCCAAATGACTGTACTGCTCCCTCCCTTATGCTGTACTTAACCACAAATGTAACCTTCAAAACCATTTTTTTTCAATTACAATGTGGAAACCAGTGGCTGAGCTACAGTTGGAGACTTAATCAGAGAACTGGAGCAAACTCACGCTCATGTGCAACTCCCAATTACCCTGGAGGAGTTAGAGTGAACAAAGTCTAAATGAACTTACAGGAACCAGGAATTTCTTAATCTCCTCCAAGGCATGGCTCATGCGGGAATAGGCCTCTCCAGGTGGTGCAAAGACTTCAATTAAAACATGGAGATCGTTGCTCAAATGGGCGTATTTCGCCTCCCCACTTTTCCTCAGCTCTTCTTCCTGGAAATAAGAAAATTTGGTCAGATCACTCATGTCTGGCCTTGCATTATTTTCTCTGGGCAGCGAGTGCACCTTGATAAACTGAATTTCAGCACCTATGCTGATGAAAAGCATCATCATTTTGAGCTCGGGTCATTTTCCATCATCATAGTTTACAAAGTGAGTTTGCTATTATGTTTCATTACTCACACTGAAACAAGAGATGTCTACAAACAAACAAGCAATAACCTTCCATAAAAATACAAGATGAAACATTGTGATTTCACGCTGAAGAAGACATAACGATAATTTCATGCAGAGTAATATGCACAAACAGAAATGTCGGAGTGGAGAGCTGTTCAACAGCAATAAACCGCCATTGCCTCCTCTCAGATTAAATTCTCCCCGGGGAGAAAGAATAAGGAGGATATATCTGTTTCCAGCTTCCAGAGTAGCTCTGATTGCTGAAGGTCATCAGTAACTATTCTTCAGAAAGCTCATAATTACTGCAGCCTACATTACCTTCTCATGTTGATTACCTTTGGCTGTGACTTGTACTCAAAGTCTGGAGAGCGTTGACAGCGGGGGCATTCAAAGATACTTGATCTGTGATGTACACCCCTGCAACCTCTTCATTTCTGATTAACTCTAACTGACAACTGATGCAATGTGACCCAATCACTTCATTTCTATCATGCACTACTTTGAATGAAGCTCAGAAAGCACTTTTTCTATTTTAATTCTTCAAAATTACAATCATGTTTGGGTTATTTAACCCCTTAAACTACAAGGCCTGATATGTGGGTCCACAATTCAGTGTTAAAGTTGTCATCTACTCTATAATTCATATAGTCCATATAGGGAGACATATATGGAGCAGCAAAAATGGTCTGTTTTAAATTCAAAATCAACACATTTACATACAGTATATGGCCAAAGGTATGTGGACACCTGACCATTACACCTATATGAGCTTGTTGGACATCCCCCCCCCTTTAAGGCTATAACAGCCTCCACTCTTCTTGAGAAGGCTTTTTATTGGCATTTGTGCCCATTCCGTCAATTTTTGTGGCATTTGTGTGGCCAGGGACTGATATTGGACAAGAATTCCTGGCTTGCATTCAACATTCCAATTTATACCAAAGGTGTTCAGTGGAGGCCAAGGCTTTGTTCAGATGCCTGGAGTTTCTCCAAACCAAACTAGTCAAATAATATCTTTCTGGAGCTCGCTTTGTGCTAGAACAGGAAAAGGACTTCCCCAAACTGTTAGCACAAAGATGAATCCATATAATTGTCTAAAATGTCTTGTGTGGCATTAACATTACCCTTCACTGGAACTAAGGGACTGAGCCCAAATCCTGGAAAACAGCCCCAGACCATCACCCCCTCCTCCACGTAACTCTGTAGTGAGCGATTTGCATCAGCACTTGGCGGCCCCACTCTGTGAGTCTGTGTGGTCTACCACTTCATGGCTGAGCTGTTGTTGCTCTTAGATGCTTCCACTTTACAATAACAGCACTTACTGTTGACCTGGGCAGATCTAGCAGGCCAGAATTTTCATGAACTGACTGAACTGAAGGTTGCGTCCTATGACAAGGTCACATTTAAAGTCACTGAGCTCTTCAGTATGATCCAATCTGCTTAATGTGCTATTTTGTGTACACTTGTTAGCAACGGGAGTGGCTGAAACACCTGAACTCAATTATTAGGAGGGGTGTCCACATACTTTTGGCCACATAGTGTATATCCACCTATTCAGCAGTTTACAGCAGTTTAGCTAGGCTCACTCACAGTCACATAATAAAAAGTGTTTCAGCCTACCTTTTAACTGAGGCACAATACAGGGCAGCCAATAAGAACAGAAGTCATTTACATACATCTGTTTTAAAGGCACAGTAACAACAACAGCCTCTCTAATTCTAATGGATAAAGAGAGGGTGAAAAAAGGCCTGGGAAAAATGAATGAATTACAACTATTTTTGGTACATAAAGCTGCACAAACAGCATAGGTAGACCTCAAGGAAACATATAATTTACAAGTAAAATGTAGAAGATGAGTCTTTTAAGAATAATAATGAATCAGGGTTCAAGGGCTTAACTCTCAGAAGTCACTTTTATTGCTGGTGATAAAAAAATGATGAAATTAAATATGAATTATTTCTCATTTGTAGCTGAATGAAATTAGGGGAGAAATTCTGTTGAACAAATTGCAAACTGAACTTTCAATCAAAAGTAAGAGATAATTTATTATAATGTGAATTTAAGGACAGTTATTGTTGTGTGCACTTGTCTTGTTTTGCAGAAAGAAAAAACATTCTTAATGAAATATGTAATTGAATAATTATATCTGAATAGAACGGCAAAACAAAAGTAATATCTGCTGATTTTTCTACAGGTTAAGGTGCAAAATCTGTATTGTAAAGAGCATAACAGAACTCCCCTCTGTCTATCTCTCTCTCTGTTTATTGTTGTGTGGAAAGACAACTTGAAAAGTACAATGCATTACCTCACAGCCTAAAAGATGGAAGGAAATAGTCTGCATAGACATAAGAAGTAAGAGTATTTGCTTTATTTCCCATCTTCTCTGAGACAGAAGAACTTTCAGTTGGCTGACATTTTCCTGTCTAAAGTCTGAGCGCTTTAAATTTCCTTTTATGTCAGTCCACCAGCAAAGCGCTCTATTGTTTTAAAAGCTGACTCTGTCTTCCAGGATAAGTTTTAAAAGGTACTGAAGTGAGTCTGTCTAAGTGCGCCAGAACCCACTACAGATATGACATAATGGCAAGTGTTTCCTTCTTTTTATTTATTCTCAATGGGTAAAAAGAGGAACATGCTGCACTGACAGCTACAGGATATTTGTACAGTATCAGTGGGCAGCTCTGATTACCAAACAACAGATTTCACCTTCCTGAATGCCAAGAACTCGCCCAGTCGCTCAGCTGTGAGATCAGTGAATGAAGACTCAACAGAACAATGAAGCCTCAGTTAGAAAATACTTGCCTCAGTTAGAAAACAAAAAACAAAACAAAAAGGTGTTGTTTGACGATTTTGTTTGACGAAGTTGATGATTCCTTCAACAGCCACAATAGCGTCTTTGCCGTGTGTATCCAATATATTTTAAGAAAGCTTCACTTTCAGAAGTCTAGAGTTATTACTGTCACTTTCTATACTACACAAACATAATTATCAAATTATACAATTACAGAGTGAGTTACATAATAACTACATTCACTTTCAATTTACATTGTGTGGCTAATCCAAGTCTGCACTTTTAACTTTTTCCCATTTGCTTCAATGTCAAGATGTCTTTCCACACATCAATAACTTTATTCAGCTCAAATCATTATAAAGTGTCTCCTCTTCTGCTAACAGACACTAAGACAGTACTGAATGAAAGGTTCTAATCTGTGCATTTGCAGAGTTTCTCTGCCTCTTTCAATGAGCTACGAAAAACCTTTAAACCTTTAAAGGGTTGAAATGTCACCGATTTTTATGAATTGCTGTAGAATCAAATGGTGAGGATACATAAAGTCATTGAGAATGATTTGGTGTGAAATGCTTCATTCTAGAGAAACTTAAACAGTCAGAACTGTTCACAGTTGTGGTGACAGAAACCAGACATCCAAAGTGTTTAATGCCTCTAAACGCTCCCTCACGGAAAGTTATTAAATGAAGTGCTTTTGAATATGCTGCCTGATGTCTGAGACATTGTTTTATGATAGTTCTGAGTTAAGCTTTTGGCCTAAAACATGTTTTTTACAGTGGAAAGGTACATGCAGAGCATTCTACGGCAAAATAGCACCCAAAGAAAAAAAACTTCCTTTTTTTCAGATTTACCACTTTCTTATATACCAACAGTACATATAAAAACTCAAGATACGCATAGATTTCCTGATCATTATGTGCAGTAAATAAAATGGCTATATTCATGACCCCTGGTTCACCACCACTGTAAAGAAAGAGTTAGCAAGTATCTTTATAATGAACCATTTCACATCAAATCACTATGAATGACTTTGTTTACATTTTGAAAAATGGAGTTCTCCATTAAGAGCCTAAATTGGACTGGGATCTAAATAACTTTAAAAACAGTAATTTTGTCTTCATTCTAGATCAGTAGGCCTACTGGGCATTGGAGATTTTGCTTGATCATGAGGCACACGGGGAGAAATGGTAAACAAGCAATGTAAATGGTGGCCTCGCTCCTTGCCTGAGCGCCTCTTAGTTAAGCTCAGAGAGAGAAACACAGGCATGAAAGTTGCACTGCTCTGCATAAATTATGCATCTTGTTTTGACTGAAATCTGTGTCTATTGCAAAACTGGATCTTGGACGCAATGGAGCCAGCTCTGACTCCTGTGGCTCAGTGTCAGTCTCGCTGACAGACAGAAGAGAACAGCAAGGCAGCAAATCAGACATGCAGAAGATCATTACGTAAGATGGTTGCATCTCATATTAAAGCTTCAATCTGGGCATTTTTATAGCAGCTCAAAATGTAAACACATCAGTGTTAACCTATTCAGTCTACTTCAAATCAATAAAACTGGACTAGTGTAGACAAAAAAAAAAGATCAAAAGAAGGAGCTGGATAAATAATGATCATGCTGGAGGCCAAGCTCGTGTTTATTCTGTTCTGCTAAGAGAAAAAAAATCATACAGCCACTTCAAAAACTCAAAAAGAATCAATGCTACTCAAATCTGGCTGGGGTTCAGCCTGCACCTAACAGACCAAGTTCACTCTTGAAAGTAAAGGCTCCCTGCTTGGATACACAGTTCTAGGAAAAACATTTAATTGGTATAGAATCCTAACATTACAGAAGGGTATTTATTTACTGGTAATTCCCATTTTTTGTGTGTAATTCCCACTGTTGTTCTAAAAAGACCACAGTGCTTGTTGAAAGCAGTCATTTGTCAAGGGAGCCAAGTCATCTTTTAGAAGACATTCAATAAACATTAAATCATATAAATAAAAGTGCAAGATCCATATTACATTTTACATCATTAATTGTGTGTTATTATGGCTTATAATAAAAGTAATGACATTTTTGTAGGCTATACAGCTACAATTCTTTTTCAACATTGAGCATTTCAATTTAATTTACAGTCAGGTTTTGTGTTTGAATATAAAGTGTTGCTGTTATTATATGGCTGAAATGAGTGTAAGAGGGGGTTTTCTAACATGACTTAATCATTCCAAGCAAACTGTGGTATCTAGGACTCTACATCTGAGAGTAGAAAGGCAAATCGGAAGCGATAAACGCAAATCGTTTGTTTTGCCGTTCAGAATCAGCTGCTTGAATCCTGTGTGGAGAAGTAGCTTCTGTATCTCGTGTTTTCTCCTCGCTCTGGTAACAAGGCATTTGGGTGATGCCTTCACAAAGGAGTTAGGTATTAGCACGAGTATTTGATACTCACGTTAAGCAATGTCGGCACACTGTCATCATTTGATCTACCACTCTGTGCCCACCATTACTGTACTTGACTGGGTAATTGAAGTGTTCCCAAATGGGAGTAGGGTTGCTACATCCTGTGCACTCGATCAGTGGCTTGATTTTTTTCTAAATTCCAAAATTCTAAAACTATGCTCACGATGCAGTCTAATGTCTGCTCAGCTACAGAACCTAATCTTTTCAGTTACTTCATTGCAGTGCTGACTGTTGCCTGAATATGTCACCAGCAGTGCACCTTTCCCAGACAATTGTCCTGATTACTGAGGGTAATTGCTGAGGTTAATCGGAACTAATCAAGCCATTTTTTGTGTACAAATGAAATAGCATGGATGGCTGGACATTTTGTGTCCAGGAATGGAAATCTTTCTTTCCTGGCCAGGGAAATCCTGGATGGATCACAGGAGATGAATGCAACGATGATTTTGCTTGTTCCAGCTCAAGTTTACTCTCTCCACTCATCACTTTAAACAGCTTGGTATCATGACTTGTGTTCAAAAGAAATATAGAAACAACTCCTGGTACCACGCATTTCATAGCATGAAATCTAGCTGTTAATAATTCACAAAAAAAAATATTAACAAGTATTCTATCCTACCTCTATCACATTATATGGATATATATAATATATCCATATAATGTATTATAATTATATATATATATATAAGGTTAAAAAGGTTCTTCACACTCAAGTATCTCTTTTACAAAAACAGCTCTGAAAGAATCAACCACTGAAAGGTTCTTTAAGGAGTTGTTTTTCTATGTTTTTGCTCAAAAAATCTTTTTTTGGTGCTTTCTGTTTTAAAAAATGTAGAGTACTACGCTGAATTTGTCCAACCACCAAAGAAATATTAAACCCTAGAAGAGAAGAGAGGAACGAGGAGTGAAGCAGTGCGGAAACATGCACTCCACCTAATTATAACACATTACAGCACGCAATTAAGAACTCCTTAAACTCGAACGTCTTAAATCTTTGCCAGGTAAATGTGCTGAAAATCTAGCCAAGATAATATGGCTCTGTCTAACATGTCGTCAATTATGCGTGTGGTCGTGATACCCTTCATTTTCAGTCTTCAGGTGGTACGAGCATGATGCTTCCCCACTGTGGTTGTACTCTTCAGACATGCTCAAGAACGCTTGGCTCGGCAGGAACCGATTGCAGTAGGACTAAAACAAGAGCCAGTAGGATTGTTTTGAATCTCAGAGCTAATCTTTGATGCAAATGTATTCCCGCTTAAATATTCACCTGGAACTGGCGCAGACATGGTGTAAACATAAAGTGAAATAACTCAGTCGTGCACCTTTATCAAGATTCAGGCCCTTGCTGTCAAAAATAAAGTGGCAAATGAAAATAAAATGTTTCTTTGCAAGTTTTATACAGCTGTGCACTGGCTCCAGTACTGGGAGATTTTTCCTCTGCAGTCTTTTTCCAAGTACAGTTGGGCCAACAGGATTTCCACACTGTCAGTACTTGGTTATAGTGATGGGTTAATATAAAGCTTTATTCTAGATGAAGCTGCTGGTACTCAGCCAGTTTGGCTCAGCTATATGCCTAAGAGCGTTTGCACACAGGTGTGTGTGCAGGAATTAGCAGCACTTAGTTCATCTCAAACAAATGTATACAAAAAGGTCTAACTCTAAAAATAATAGAGTTCCTACAGACCGCAGTTAGGAGCAGGTTGCTGCTCCTGAGTTCAGCAGCTGCTGAGGATGTGCTTACACTCACACAGACAAGCTTTCAGGGGACTGAGAGTCAGAAGGATAAATGGTTCTGCTAAGGAAGAAGTGCTGTGTACAGGCAACACATGCTGACTTACACACCCTCAAAACAGTATCATAAGCAATGACATTTGAAATATATCATGGACTTGGTTAAAATGAATGATTTTTTAACCCTTAGATGCTGCAGTTATCACCAGCAATAGCAAAGCTTTCTTGATATGAGTTATTATTTACTTACAGCTCTTTGAAACAAATGGAGAAATTCTATTGAAAGTTCAGATTCTGAGCTTTCAACTGATATGTATGTTTTATGTTTTGAATTTTACAAAAAGTTACCATCTTGACTACAGTCTTGTTTTGCGGGAAATATAAACCCTGCTTTACATTTTTGACTTTTACCATTTCTTTGCCTTGAAACAAGCAAAAAATAGCAGACCTGCAGAAATGAACCTGCCGATACAGACTGTAAATCAAACGTGTAATTATTTGAGCTACAAGTCACTACATAATTACATACATACATAATCACAATTATTTTATAGCTAAACAACAGTACACTGAAAAAATGGTGCTTTGAATTACATTAACTGGCACATCTGAATCATGTAAATTCAAAGCAAGGGCATAACTTTGGGTTGAACATTGGAGGGATTAAAGAGGACCTTCTTGGGGGGGACCTTACTGCACCCTCAAAAAAAAACTAATCTTACCATTTGTTCTACGTATGGGATAAACTAGATGGTCAGGTCAGCTAGATTTATAGCATTTAATTTCAACTATTAGCACTAGCTACCACAACCATGGATAACGTTGTAACCAATGTAATGTTAACTAGTGTTAGTGTCAGCCTCAGACAAAGAGACATGTTTATGTCTATGTCAACACAATCTCTTGTGCTGTAGGCTACTGTACACCAAACACTTATGCTGCCTTCACATGTTTGTGCTGAAAAAACATGACTGATAGTGGCCTGAAGCCATGTAAACGTTAGCATGGTGACAGCAGTACTGGTAAAAATGGATGATTATCAGAAGAGAACTTTAGCAGTGTATATTGTTATTCGTACTCTTTTTTTGTTGTTGTATAATACTGGGTTCAGCTGGTATTCAGCAACTTTAGCATAATGGCCCCCCAAAAAATCAACATCCAGTTTATTTCATTACTGCAGCTGACGGCAAAAGTTGGGAAACCTGAACCCCTGATGGAACATTCCACTTAACGCTGTGGTCTGTGTAACATTCCCGCTGCTGGTGGTAGAATTTTTTAGAGCCGGAAGACCGGACAACAAAAATATTTTCAGCAGCATTCATGATATTAGTGTTAGTAATAGTGACACAAATTTTAATGGTAGTGTTTATTAGTTCAGTAAATCCCACTGTAGTTCAGTTACATGCATCATGTTAATTTGATTAATTACATAAACTGACCTGCAATAATTTAAAGTGAATGTGATATTGGTTGGCGACCAAATGCCACGCATATTTCAGACAGTGCAACCAAGAGCAAAAACAAGACTGTCATCCTACCTTGCCTTTATCCCTCATTGAGCCTTTGCCAAGGATGGACATCTTTGCTCCCGTTTCCTCTTGTAATCTTTTCATGGAATTGCCCCGGGGCCCCAGCAGTTTCCCAACAAAATTAAACTGTAATGGAGAAGAGAAAAGGCAATACCATTGGTCTCTCGTGCTGCTTGACAGTTCTCTTACCTCACAGTCAATAAAAAACATCCACAGCTTTTTTTTTTTCTCCTCATCGTGGACAAAGCCAGATACAGCCTAACCCAAACAAATCAACTGAAAAGAACGGCTTTCAAAATGAATCGAATATCTGATGCATCCATCTATCAAATGTGTATCGCTGATCACAGGCAGGTTTGTGCACCTTCGAAACCTGCATGTCGGAGCGTGCGCCTCTATCTGGAGGGACCGCAGTCAGTCATCTGTCTAATCGATGTTCAGGGTCAGCGGTGGGCCTCTGCTGCTCTCAGAGATATTAGAACATGTGCAGATGCCAATAAAGATCCTTGGAGTGATCCAGAGGTCTACACTTGAATGAGGCGTAACATAATGAGTTTATCTCCAATGGGGATTCGGGTAATACTGTGCAGATGATGAGCTATCAAGTGATTGCCTTGGGGCAACATCTACCATTTCAGCCACACAGTGGTCAAGAAGTCATTGAGACCAGTTACTCAGCGCTCCTTTTTTCCCCCTCTCGTCTCCCTTTGCCTCTATGAACTAGTCGCATAATCTTACTGTCATTCCTAACAGACTTGAAGTTTACTACATACAATATAAAATCAAGCCACTTTCCCCAGGGTATTCTATACCATGAAAGTTACCCATCTTTAATGAAGTCAAATTAACACTCTAAGTGTTAGTTCAACATTGATTTCAACCCTGGCGCACATGTCACACATTCAGGAAAGTCTGAGAAATCAATGTAATAATGAAGAATGTTTTCTTCTTGTTGTTTCTTTGCTCCACTTCAGTGTTGCTTTTTCATTGTATTGTCTTCTAAAATGTTACCCTGCTCTGCAGATTTATTCTTCTAAAATGCATTTCCGTAAACACTTAACACTAGATTGCTCTGAATACACAGACTTCGAGAGTTCTTTTTGTTATTTATTTGAGAATTTCAGAAAATACTGTTGTTAAAAAAGTGGAAAGGAACTATAAAAGCGACATAAAACATCAGTATACACAGCAAATATTTAAAACATACAGTATCCTTCTAGAATGTCAACTGTGAATGGCAGTACCTTGAAGGCTAGGCTGTTCCAGCAGCACGCATTTGTTCATGAGTGATTCTGTCATTATTTCAGAACACTGTCTGAGCTTGTTTACTATTCTTTTCTGCTCTGCTGGGCGACAGACTTTGCTAAGAGAAGTGAGCTTGCCCTTCAAATATTTTCAAAGGTTAGCTGACACGCGGCAGTCAGGATGAAACAGTTGGCCATAACACATGTTGACATACCCTGCCTAGCACATGGCTGGAAACCACTGAAGCCAGAACAGCTGCACATAGGGAGGGAGATGACTTACAGAACAAGACTGAATTCTCACCACATCTGCCTAGAGACCCCTGAAAACGAGTGCGGTTCCACATGACAGAGTGGGACACCATTTGGGAGGTCCACTCCATTTACTGAGGTGGAAAGCAACTAATTACCACTACTCTCATTACAGAAACCTGTGTACATATTTCCCTGTAATGGTACGTTTTGTGGAATAATTCAATCAAAGTAATCTTACTTATATTTTAATTTATTTGAATCAAGTATTCAAAGATGTATTATTTTTGGCTCAATTCAAGACATTTATGCAACTTAATAGTGTTTTGACACCTCTTTAACTAAACATAAAGCTATTGCTTATTTTCTACTGTAAGTGCATGTTAGCTAGCCAATTTAGCTAATGTAATTTTACATTTAAGGTAATAGGTTAGGTTTAGCTAAAAGTGCCATTAGAGCATTACACTTTCTTTCTGCAAGGCAAATCCTAACTTAAAGTAATTCAAAGTAGCTTAATTATATGAGTAATTTTTTCAAAAAAAGTACTAATTTGCTATTACTTGAGCATTTCTCTTCATTAATCCTTTTACCTGTGAATTATCACAGATTATGAATCAAGTGAATTATCACTGCAGCACTACTCTAATTCACTAAGGATTTCATTACTCTTTCCACCACTGGCCATTTAATTCTGCTGCAGTATTGCACTGCGTCTACAGGAATGTTCTTTTCCAAGCGTTAAAGCTGGAGGCTTTGGAGCTGTCTGCCCATCCTCCTGCGGTGTGGATATAACGGGAATTCTCCGCAGTTGGCCAGGAGCCCTCGAGCAGATGGCTGCCTCGGCTGCGGAGCGAAGGCGCTCGCTGGGCGGCAGCAGTGGAGTGGCCTGTTTTCATTAAGCTAATGAATGTCTGGAGCCACTCTCCAGCTCCACGGTGGGCAATTTGGGCTTTATTAGGGGGCACGGTTCAGTGTTAAATGAGGTTTGAAACGACGCAAGCCATCCCCTGCAGTCCCCAGCAGCGGCAGGCTGGCTGGCAGGCTGAAGAATGATGGGCGCGGACGGTGACGCTGGTGCAACAGTGACACGACCAAGATGATGGAGCTGACACTTCGCAAGGTGTGTGCATGGCATGATGGGAGAAGCATTAGCATAAAATGATCGCACATCAATAGGTCATATCAGACCATATCAGACGACAGAAGAAGGGCTAGAGAAAGAGTCAACAGCACGATGTGGATTTATTGATAACCAATGAGAGATTTGGCCATACCTCTGCTTATTACGACCTACTGGACCGAGCTGTGAATGCGCAGAGCTGCCTGAACAAATGAGTTTTCACACTTGAGGCTTTGTGACAGGGACCTTCACCTTTGCTGGATTCTCTCTGATGCAGACCACATTGATTTTTTTTCTCTCAAAGTACTCACAGAGTCTTTTCAGGGCCCAGGGACAGGGACCACGTAGCCTTCCATTTATGCCACATCAGAGTCCAGGCCAGACGCACTTTAGCACTGTGACAAGGGGATGGTTTGTCTAATAGGGATATTTCCTAGCAGTTAATTAAGTATGACACTCGACACATCAGAGATTCAGCCGGATCACAGCACTGCGGATTTGTCCGAATAGGACGGAGGATAACTACTTAAATGGAAAATGTACAGTTCATTAGCCTCTGCTTGCTCGAACTGTCACAATATATTGTGAACTTTCTTAAACAAGACTCGTTGGCTGCCAAAATCAATGGCAGCGAGAGCACCTGTACTTTAGTTTACTGGATTTTATTTTGGATTACAGCTCTCCTAGGACAGCTGTTCTATTTTCCTCCACTTCTTGTGACCCACTCCTGACAGACTTAATGCAAATGATGCTTCTATATTTACGAATATATCAGACTAGAGTGAGACAAGTATTTTCCATGTGGAGAAAAAATGTGCATATATCTACCATGAAAAAACACCTCTGCGGTGAGCTTTTTTTAGTACACCTGTCCTCCCTGTGCATCTATACCATCAGTGCTTGTTATGAAAAACTTCAGTAAAGACAGGTTATCTGTTCTTTTTTCATTCTATTTTTTATCATGCCTGATGCTAAACCAGTCTTACTGTACAGCATGATCCACCTTTATTATTATACCGATAAGATTTCAAGAAAAAAAAAAAACGATACCATTTCAAACTCCATAGCCGATGGTGCACTATTCACATTTGGCGTGGAGCGCGGCCTAGCCACTATTATCCCAAATAGTGGCTAGGCATTTTGCCTCTGTTTGAGTTGGAGGGTGAAATGCTGCACCCTTGCCGGGATGCACGGGGCCAGATAAGATCCACGGATGAGGCGAGTCTGGCCCTGCCAGCTGAAACAGCTGCGCTGCTGCAGAGGCCCAGCCGCTCCTCCGAGCCGGATCTGAGCTGCAGCCTGTGAGCGCTACAGGACTGGCAGCAGAGAGGAGCTGGCTAGAGTGAGTCAGTGGACACAGACTTTAGCACTGAGGAGCTCTGACAGTGGCAGGATACAGTACAGTGGCGTTAAGAGGAGGATACAACCCTGCTGAGACTGAGGAGGAGCTAATGAGCTGAGAGATAGATAGTTTGATAAAATGATAGAGAGATATAGAAAGACAGAAACACAGAGGAGAGACACAGAGAGAGAAAATGAAGAGAAAGATAAAAAAAGGAAGAAAAAATGAAAAAGAAAAAAAAGAAAAAGAAAAAAGAAAGTAAGAGAGACAATGAGACAGACAGACTAGGGATGCCAATTTGGAAGTTCTGATTTCTGGATGGTATGGCAACTGATAATTAACACCTCATTATGGCTGATGCAGATATTACTGCTAAATAATCTTAATTTTAAAGCCTGTTCACTCTATAATCCATATTTGATGTGATATGAGTGTAAGTGGTTAAAACTCTAATGGATGATTAATTTAACATAGCAATGACTACATTATTATATGCAAATAGTTTATAAATAAATTAGCAGCCACTTGGTACACAGTGGTAGGATGTGTGGAATGTAGAATGTAAGACTTTAGGAGTCTTGCCCAAGCACTCTTACTGGTACAGCACAACTAGGCCACTAACAGTACTGCGGAGGTTAAAACCACCCAGACTGCAAGAGGACTATAGAGGACAAACCAAAGTACCGGATAACAGGGTCTTACATTAGCCACAATCAGAGATCAACGTTGCCTATTGCCTGGTGCCCCTGGCCACATTTCACATTTTGATCACTAAAATGCAGAGCTTGTGGCTCAAGTGGTCACTTGTCTTCAAGGTTTTTTGTGTTTTATCCCTTTTTACAAACCTCCAGAACTATTTTCACACATTCACAAATATCCAACATGATTAACAAAAGGACTACTTTTAACCTTCCCACGCGAGATCCATCCTGTTTGGTCAGACACAAAATAGGCTGCATCAAAACAGATTCTGTTGGAATAAGCCAACTGCAATGTCAATGCTTCCATCACAAAAGCAAGTGCAAATCTCTTTCAAGAACTCGCATTTCTTCCTAGCCTGCTGCAATGGCTGGGTTATTAAAATGTGTTTTTACTGCTGACGGCAATGTTGACAATAAAAAAGAACTGAATAACGATGGTGAAAACAAAAAAAGAATTAGAAAGTTTG